ATCCATACTGGTCCTTTGCTCACTTACTCACGATGATGTTAAGTTCCTGTTTTGTATACTTATTACTACATGCATATCCATACTGGTCCTTTGCTCACTTACTCACGATGATGTTAAGTTCCTGTTTTGTATACTTATTACTACATGTATATCCATACTGGTCCTTCGCTCACTTACTCACGATGATGTTAAGTTCCTGTTTTGTATACTTATTACTACATGTATATCCATACTGGTCCTTCGCTCACTTACTCACGATGATGTTTAGTTCTTGTTTTGTATACTTATTACTACATATATCCATACTGGTCCGTCAAAGATCTCTTTATTTTTTCAGCAATGCTTTGCCAAGACGAGATGGGAGTATGAAAATTAAAGCGCCTCCCCGTTCTTTCATAATGGAAAGTTCTGTTCAGTTCATGATGGTAAGCTGCTTTCGGTGATATTTACAGATGTAGAGGGTAGAACGGTTATATGTTACAACTGTATGGAATATTGTTAATTTAAATGTTGATATCAAACAGTATTACACAATATTATTAAAAACACATTATTCTGTACCTTCTGTGATTTATTTTAGTATCTTAATGTGATATTCATTTATCTTTTCTGTAGGGAGTTCAGCGACAAGATAGACATCTCTTTCTATTTACTGACATTTTACTGATCGCAAAGCCAAGGTAAGGAAAAAAAAACATTTGGAAAAACAGTAAGGGAAAAAACAATACATCTAATACTGGCCATAAAATTACAGTTTTTAAAATAAAAATCTCGTAAAGTACACACGACTTCTACTCCACCCCACCCACCCCCCACACATTCCTCTTAATAGATGTATCCGACAATTATTCCAGCGATAATTTTACAGGCCCCCTAGACAGATATCAAGGCCGAGTCCCTATTCATACTGGTACCTCCGAAAATTTGGCGCCGTTTGTCTATATTGCTGAGCCTGGGCAAGTTTTGGTACTGTTCGAAAAGCCTCCTGCGCAGTGATTTGTGACAGCAGACAAAAGATAGATTTACATTGTTATTTGTTTATATTTCTGATTTAAATATCCAAAAAAAAGTTGAAATTTATTTAAGTTTTTAATAAATATTGCGGAAATTTGTATCTAAAGTTTCACCTGCTCAGAGTTATTGTTATTAGAGCTTGACAACGTTTTATTTAGTATTTCTTATCAAACGTGATATCATAACTTGGAACCTCATTGTTGAACCTACCAATAAAGCGGGCAAATACGACTTAAGAAACATTCTGGTGTCAATACTTCAGTCAAAATACCGTTTTAATGTTGTGTTACATTTTCATTAGCTTTCGAAGCACGATATTACATTTAACGACATATATTTTTGTTCACGATACATACACCTGAATACGACACATTGAGGGATAAACACTTGGAAAATTTTGTTTTCGTATGAGGCATTGAAACACATATATATACCAAACTGCCAACATCAGACTTGTGAGGCGAACATGTTGAGGGATTGATTTTGAGTTCATCTAAATGTCTACAGATTCTCGGGTACTTACAAGCTGAAGGACAAGATTCTAGTCAACGAGCTGTGGCTATCTTCGTGTCTTTCTGAAGTATGCGAGTCCATTGGCTCTCCAGAAGTTTCTTTCGTTCTAGGCTGGCCAACCACTAATGTCGTAGTGACATTCAGGTAAGACGAGTAACTGTATACACTCTAAACTAGATTTAAACACGAATTTGTTCTTTAAAAAAATCAGAAGCTCTTGAAATTCTTAAACTAACCCTAAACAGCATAAATGAGAATGTTATTTAAATAAGTGCACAACCCCTAAAAAAGCATAAAGAAAATGCTCTTTAGATAAATGCGCTAACCCTAAACAGCATTAATGAAAATGTTCTTCGAATAAGTGCGCTAACCCTAAAAAGCATAAATAAAAATGTTCTTCAAATAAGTGCGTTAACCCTAAACAGCATTAATGAAAATGTTCTTCAAATAAGTGCGCTAACCCTAAAAAGCATAAATGCAAATATTCTTCAAATGAGTGCGCTAACCCTAAAAAGCATAAATGCAAATATTCTTCAAATGAGTGCGCTAACCCTAAAAAGCATAAATAAAAATGCTATTTACAGGACGCATGAGTTTATAGTTAACTTGAACTTATGTTTCTAGGGTGGTATGTTTATGCTTGAGTTGTACAGGAAACACCATTCTGGACAACAACAAAAAGTTCGCACAGTAAGCTATTTCCATAATTTTTCTTTCGTAATAAAAATACTGGTGGTATATTAACGCATTTACGTCGATTAAACCGAAGGAAAAAAATCAGCTTTTGTATTGACAGGGTTGAGTTCCTTCAATCTTCAGAAAATGATATATAATTGCACGCGCTTGGAAGTTGCCGTGTTTATTGTTTCAGCATCACACGTCCAATTAATCTCTTATTACAGTGTTTTTAGTTTTAAACGCTCGAGTAAACCCAATGAAGAAGTAATTTCAAGCCTGGATCACTGTTTTTTATGGATAATATGGTATAAACACGAGAAATGTCAAAATCTAGAGATTTCGAGAACAAAGTGATAAATTTTCACTAGAAAACTGGTAGAACAATTCTGAAAACAACTGATTTTTTTTTATTCATTAGTTTCACACATTTTTAATTGTAAGTAACGTAGAAGACTAAATCAATCCATCATTAATTAAATTAATTAAAATGTGTGTACTGAAAAACTATTGCGTATTTTTAAAAATATATATTTGATAAATTCAGCTTAACCTTTAAAAAAAATCACCAGTACGATGTGTTTTTTTTTATGAAAACAACCAGTTCTGATACTGGAAGTTTCGAGTTGGCGAATCTGCTACCAAATATGTAAGTGACCTCTGACCTTGAATATGTCCAAAGTGACACCCCTACGAATAATTGACCTATTTCAGCTGATACTGACCACTGGTAGTGGATATTACGCAGAGTTTGTTTAAATCCTGGTTGATCCACCTGAGGCGAAAGTGCTACTTAACTAGCAGACAGTGGATTGGTCAGAGCTATTAAAACTCGCTTCGACAAGGTTGGTAGGCTTAAAGAGAATTCAAAGAAAAACTCCAGGAGACCTTGAGGCTTGCACGATGATGGTGGAGTTAACATAAAACCAGAATACCTCGTGTATGTATTATCACTGTGTAATTCAAACAGATGTATATGGCAAAACACCTTTGCTGCTTTCTCTCATTAACACGTCTTGTTTCTTTTCCCTACCAGCTCCCCACAGACTAAACAACTGTGGCAAAGTAAACTGAAAGAGTAAGTAGGAAAACTGTTATAATTTTGTTTATTTCCTTTTGATATAAGGTTTTCTTCATATGAAATAACGCGTTATATTTATTCATATATAAATATAAAACTGTTTTGCGGTGACATGTCTGCTTTCTACCATTTCGTGTATAATCACTACTATTGTTTTAATAATTAAGAGCAACTAGCTGAGAAGTGTTTTACATCACAGGTCTGGATTTAACGTTAGGCCTAACTTTAGACTAACGTGGTTATAATTGTACGAAATTATCCCGATTGGTTTATGTTTCGAACATAATTGTGTGCATATGTATAATCAAACATTGATAATTCACTTCAAGAACAATGAAAAAAAGCATAAAATGTAAACCTTTTTTTTCCTCATATGTAACCGGTACAATTATCTCTGTAGCAGTTAAGCCTAATTTCAATTCGATAAGCATATATATATATATATATATAATTGGATTTTATTTTGTGTTTAGATTTATGTTACTACGTTAATTATGTAAATTAGAACATTGGCAAGGCCTTAGGTTTACATCTGAAAACAATACGAACATAAGACGGGAAATTTTGCTATGTTTATAAACAATAAATATGTAATTTTCATACCTCACCGTGGTTTTCATTAGATTTTTAAAAAATATGTGTACATTTTAAGGCTAGTAAGATTATGTTTTTCTAGTCACTTTTGCATTAAAAAAGTGAGAATGTAATATGTGTTATAATGGATGAAGTTAAAACCGACCAGGAAAAAGCAGTTCTTCGAACTTTCACAAGTAAAGGTAAATTATATCAACGCAAAAACTGTTCAAATATATATATATTAGTTAAAGTCTATTTACCTGTTCTAACGTTTCAGAACTGTGTAAACACGTGTTGTTTGGTGTAGATTTCATACTTCACACACCTTGGGTCTCTTTCTCGACAAAAGAATGGTTTTAGTTCCTTTAGAACTCTGTTTTTCTTCACTTTGTACTGGTAGTTTTACAGATCGAAATACGAGGCCTAGTTGCTTATATTGGATAACAAATACCATGAGTAGATAAGAACTGCATGCAGTATCAGCTATCACGAGACCAGCTGCGAAACTTTAGATGTACACAGGTGTGGAAGACAGCTAGGGTTGCGTTTTATATTCTCATAAGAATGTAAGAAATCTGATTCAAATATTCGTTCTTGAACAGCCTGAATCTTAGTTAAAGATCACGACGTGAACTAGGCAACTTAGCCTTAACAAATCATTAGAAAGGCGCATCAGTAATAACTCGAAAGAATGGTCTAATTCATGACACAAAACTTTTACTTTATATTTTTTTCTGGTCATGAATAGATAACTATAGCAACGTGAATATGATACTGAGAAGAGGCTTGTGTAAAATTGTTGACTGTAGTAACTGCGCGTGACTCACTCTGTTGGCTGTGCAGTCATCATTAGCGTGAAATATCTGGATGTAGGGGTCGTTATCAACGAAATCTAATTTTTTTTATAACAAGGAGAAACAGTTGTTCTCCTGTTGTGAAAATTTAGGGTTCTATTCAGCGCTTTTATTCTATACTCAGTTAATTATTATATAAAACATTCACCCGCTCGAAGTTAAGCCTAATTTCAATTGTATAAAGTGAGAAGTATGTAGGATTTAAGATTCATTTTTGTTTGACTTTGATTTATCTTCACTAATATAGATAAACCTTAATATATACCTCATGAACATTTAGAATGTTGAAGGTGTCTATGACCATCGTTTTAAGTACCTTCTTTATCTGCCTTTAGGTTGATTGCAGAGGCCAAGAAAAATGAAGAGAGGAACGTCACATCTTTACAAGTTTGTTACTGGGACCATGAAGTGAATGAAGAATTTGTAAGTTATTTAAAAACTGTTGATTTGATGACATACACTTTAGGCTTTGAATAATAACGACCATTCACTTTTTAAAGTCAGTATTTAACAAAAATATTCAACAACAATTTTCTGGCTAATCGAAGACATTGTATGACTGCGATGGAGCCCGTGTTCTCCAGGGTGTTTATTTTATTAACTAATCTCCCGGCGGCAAACATTTCACTAAAATGTTAATAAAAATATATTTTGACTAAGCTGGGCCTGTATGAAGCTATAGTCAAATAAAAAAAAATAATAACTATCATTTTTATTTTGTAAGTGTAATGACTTAAACCATTAACCAGTAAGTAACACAAGTACTTAATTCATGAATCTTATTAATTTCTTTACCCCCCCCCCCCATTTTCTTCAACAACACGTGTTTGATTAATTATTCTTCTGTTTTGGTTACAGTTCAAAACCGTAAAAGTGAGTAACACCCAATCAACGTCTGATTGTGTCCGACTGATTCTTGACGACATCGGTCAGCAGGTCAGTATGTGAAGTTAACTGCACGTTCACATCGTTTATAATTTTTCTTCAGTTTGTCATTTAATTGTCAAATTGTTTTTCAAATAAATGTGCTATACATATCACAACATACGGACAAATAGGGCGTATTCCTTTGGTTCTTCAAGGCTGTCTTTTCACACCCACCCCCCTGAGAAAATTAAACCCACCCTTTGTTTTTCGAGTAATGATTCATTTTCATCTTAAACTCCTTTAATAAATGCTGGCCTATACTACTGGCGATGGCAACTTATTTCACAAGTTAAGCACACTTAGAAAACTGTCTTAATTTGTGCCTATTATCTTCAGAAATTCAGCGCCCTCTATCGTAATTATCATCTAACAAGTGATGTGTAAAGAGAAATAATTAACTCTTTCGACTTGTAATCAACGTGTCTATAAATAAGACCCAAAAATTCTATTGGCATAACTATTAGCAGCAAAGCATTACATTAATGATCTAGTATTCATTCTAATGGCGCAGTTTTAGGCTTAGTTTTACCCAGAATAAAGAAAAACAAACAAAAAAGTATCCAATCCTAAGAAAAATAAACACTCTAAACTTCAATAATAACAAAATAATGCTTAGTTTTCTTATAATCTTCAAACAGAAGTATTTCTAATTTCAGGCCTTGTGGCTAGGGCATTTGACTTGCAACCTGCAGGTCGTAGGCTCGAATCCCGTCTCCAAACATACTCACCTTTTCAGCTGTGGGGGATTATAATGTGATGGTCAATCCAACTATTCATTGGTAAAAGTGTAGCCCAAGAGTTGGCGGTGGGTGATGACTAACTGCCTTTCCTCTAGTCTACCATTTCAACATTAGTCTAGATATGTACACAATTCAACTAGAAAACAAACCATTTCCAAATTTCTTTGTCTCGGAACTAAAAAAAAACATGTCTTTTATTCTCAAGCTGAGCCAATAAACTTTATCTCGTTTAAAGCTGTCAGTAAAGGCGAATTTTTTTTATACTAGTACTTATATGTTTAATTTAAAAAACAAATATATATTGATAGACAATTATTTAGTATCCTTTTGATAACGTAAGTTACTTTTGAAGTAGAAACGGCGACGTGTCCAATATTGATTTTATTAATGTGTTGTTGTTTTTTCATTTTGCACCTGAAACGTTGGCATAAACAATTTTATCGTGTTTTTTCTTCTTATACTAATTAAAGCTTCAACTTTTCAGTCTTCAGAAAACTATCAGTTGTGGGTGAAAACGGGAAAAGACGAGACTCCATACCCATTAATAGGTATGTACATTTTTTTATGTAAAAACAATGGACAAATAACTAAAAAATGTTGCCCAGCATTAAAATAAATCATCGGCATTTTTATGTAAGAGGGTTATTAGGTAACCCCCTGATCCCCCCCACGTTTTGTCTGTGATGTAAAGGATTAGTACCGCCCCCCCCCCCAATATACTAACCTGGTGCAAACGACATGATTTTGATTTTACAACTAAGAAAATTGTTTATGGTGTTCTTTAGAAACTGTTCTTGTGGCGCCATCTCTTGTAGGGAATTTCTAAGGTACATGATAATTGAGTTTTTTAAACCAAAGAATTCTTTTATTCTCGTAATTAAAGGTTTGTGTTGGTAACAGCATTCCTTGATTGTGTATGTAGTTGACGAAGTCTTGTAACTAAAGATTTTATTTTTTGCTACATTAGGTCATGAGTTTCCCTTCTATATTAAGATGAACTTTGTTCGTGGATTGTTGCAGCGATCAAACTTTGACTTGCAGAACTTTAGCGTCAGTTCTGATACAAAGTGTATTTTCATCTTACGTCAGTGTTCTACAGATGACGTAGCACCTGTAGCTGGTGAGTCTTGAAGAACGGATTTAATTATGTAGTTTGTAATGATTATTGCTCGTACATCTGTCCATTTCTTTATTCATTGACTTAACTGATTAATAATCAGAATAATTTACTGCTCCCTCTATCGAATTTTTTTCACGTACAGGTTGAGTAGAAAGTTTGTTTATCATAGGTTAAAATCCCTATTATTGAGTGAGATGTTTTAGACATATGAACTTCATTGGTTCTGAAGAAGGCCATTTGGTCCAAGTATTGACCATGCTGGTTTTTTCTATTACAGTGATTTTAACCAGTGTTTTGTACTTCATAAAATTTTATTATGCCCTAGCTACACTTGTTTCTTATTCACAAAAATTGGTGGTATAAGAAAGAGTATAATGTGGAAAAAATACAAGTTTTTAGCAAGATACAATAATTTATTGTTTCCTCCAGATGCTACAAGTAAGAAGAAAAGACCCCGAAGACCAACATTGATGGGATGGCGTTTCAAGCGTAATTCTAGTAAACAAGATAATTCTAATGGGGACTTATCCTCTTCGCCATCATCTTCGGTGTTTGCAAAGTCCTTCTCGAAACTCTGGGAAGATGATAATTTACCAAAACCTGTGATGGTAAGTAGAAGCTGGGAAGATAGTAATGTATCAAACTTTGTGATGGTTAGTTAAAACTGGGAAGACAGTAATGTACCAAACTTTGTGATTGTTAGTTAAAACTGGGAAGACAGTAATGTACCAAACTTTGTGATGGTTAGTTAAAACTGGGAAGACAGTAATGTACCAAACTTTGTGATGGTTAGTTAAAACTGGGAAGAGTAATGTACCAAACTTTGTGATGGTTAGTTAGAACTGGGAAGACAGTAATGTACCAAACTTTGTGATGGTTAGTTAAAACTGGGAAGACAGTAATGTACAAAACTTTGTGATGGTTAGTTAGAACTGGGAAGACAGTAATGTACCAAACTTTGTGATGGTTAGTTAGGACTGGGAAGATGGTAATGTACCAAACTTTGTGATTTAGATTTGGTCCTTTGTCAAACCAGGCAATAAAAATCAAACACATTTTTCAGCTGAGCTAACTCGCTAGTCAATGATACCATTTGAACTGTTTCCATTCTATCACAATCTTTAATTGAAGAGATATAAAATTATATAGGCTTCTGATTGATTGATCAAACATCCTGAATCCAATTAGGTGATGGAAATCAAGCATATATTGCTGGGATGTTTTCAGAAGTTTTCTGAAGTCAATAACACATCTAGGCCTAAGTTAGCCACGAGACAGTAGCAGTCCAGTGCATGGTCCGTAGCAAGATTAATGTCAGATTGTAGAAACCAGAACAGAACTATAATGTCATGTTTTGCAGTACAAGACTTAACTTTCTGTGAGCTAAAAGACTTAATCCCTTTAACCAGTGTTAATAAAGATCGTTTTAACTACCAAAACTGTAGCCCTCTTGTGGATTGTGTATCAAAGATTACAAGGTTACTTGTTTGTCTATTTTAATATCTACTCATATTGTAGATATAAACCCTGTGTTTTTCCTCCCATAGGCAATTCTGAAACAATTGTTCAGAAAAGGGCCATATACCGTTGGCATTTTCCGAAAGTCTGCTAATACCCGGATGTGCAGAGAACTGAAAATCAAGTTGGAAGCCAATCCTGACTTTGATTTTAAAAATGTTCCAGTTGTGATGCTGGCCGCCCTTTTCAAGGTTAGTTTATAATCACCATTCTGGTTAAACATATAACCAAACTATTGTATTTCAGAAAGAACTGGTAAATATTGAAAATTAGAAACTTTGAGTTACTAAACATGTGTGGTAAATTAGGTGTAATGAAATTATTAAAATGTCTTCACTTGAATGTCATTCAAGATTACTGAGCCATAATATAGTTGATATTTGCCTTAATGAAATGTGTTGGGTGTGTCGAAGTTCTGAACTAAAGTAATGTTCTGTGTTGTGTAACTAAACCAGAACAGTAACAACAAGTATGGTTACACAAAACTACCAGAACAGCAACAACAAGTATGTAAGTTACACAAAACTCAACAAGTATGTAAGTTACACAAAACTACCAGAACAGCAACAACAAGTATGTAAGCTACACAAAACTACCAGAACAGCAACAACAAGTATGTAAGTTACACAAAACTATCAGAACAGTAACAACAAGTATGTAAGTTACACAAAACTATCAGAACAGTAACAACAAGTATGTAAGTTACACAAAACTACCAGAACAGCAACAACAAGTATGTAAGTTACACAAAACTACCAGAACAGACAGTAACATGTAAGTTACACAAAACTACCAGAACAGTAACAACAAGTATGTAAGTTACACAAAACTACCAGAACAGTAACAACAAGTATGTAAGTTACACAAAACTACCAGAACAGCTTACATACTTGTTGTTGCTGTTCTGGTAGTTTTGGGTAATTAACATACTTGTTGTTGTTCTAGTAAATATCGTATTTTGAAATAATTTGTTCTTATTCAAGATAAGCGTGATCTGTTTTTATTAACTATGAAAATGTGACATTTTATAGGTTTGACCCTCATGTAATGATTACTTGTTTATAACAACTTGGTATACAGAAAAACTTATTTTAATATTATGTGAAGGTACCTTTCAGTCATCCCATCCTTCTGCTATTGACTTTATAATTTTCTTTTTGTAGCAGCACTTTTACGTGCTCACTTATAATTCTGTAACTACGTATGTTGTTATACGTATTAAATTCTCCATCTTATCTCTGCTTGTTTTTGTATTCTGCCAATGGGAGATTTTTTTGTATAAACCTGATTTTGTGTACGTGTAATTACAGGAGTTCTTGCGAAGTCTCCCGGATTGTATTTTGGGTTCCAGTGTGTATAATGAGTGGTTAGAAGTCGCCAACTGCACCGATGAATGGGATAAAAGAAATAAAGTTATGGAGTATGTATTGTACTTACAATATAAATTATTCATTTTCTGGAACGTTGCCTGAAGAATATAACTTAATATGGTGGTGACATCTATTGTGTATATTTATAAACATTTTAAATACGATTAGATTAATTTCATATGTGATGGTAATTTAAAAATCATACCGTACAACAACCTTTTTTAGATATATATTTGAGTTAAGAATTATTTGTTCAAACATTAAAGAAACCATATATTGTAGATAAAATGGTTTTAGAATTTTGCACAGCGACACCTATAGTTTATCTGAAAAATGAGTTATATTTGTTTTATATCAAAAATTAATTTTTATTGTTTTCAGGCTTCTGAAACAAATATCCTCAGCTAACCTGAAACTTCTACAACATTTTCTGTGTGTCCTGTGGCACATATCTCAACACTCTGCGATCAACAAGATGTCACCAGAAAACCTTGCTGTATGTGTCGGTCCAAGCATGCTCTACATTTCCACTTCTAGTAGACAGCAATCAATACTTCAGCCTGAGGTTAGTTGATAACTAAGTTATTGGTCAGCACGGGTCTGGCATGGCCAGGTGGTTAGGGCGTTCGACTCGCAATCTGCGGGTCGCAGGTTCGAATCCCCATCACACCAAACATGCATGCCCTTTCAGCTGTTGGGGCATTATAATATGACGGTCAATCCCACTATTCGTTGGTAAAAGAGTAGCCTAATAGTTGGTGATGACTAGCTGCCTTCCTTCTAGTCTTACATTGCTAAATTAGGGATGGCTAGCACAGATATTCCTCGTGTAGCTTTGCGCGAAATTCAAAACAAACAATTAGTCAACACAGCCATAGGTCGGTTACAAACTCGCTTGCTTTGCCTTCAAAATAAAACTATTAATTAGAAACATTAACATTTTAAACTTGTTCAAGAAACATTAACATTTCAAACTTGTTTAAGAGAGAGTTTTTAAAAATGTAAGTAAACATGAAAACATGTAGTTCTTACAAGAAACCTTGTACCTTCTGTTGAACTAAAAGACCACGCATCAAGTTAACGAACAGTTTATTATAACATTTTAAATTTGTTTTATTAAAATGTCTGTTATTGATCAAATGAAATCAAGGGTAAAGTTGAGTTCGTATTTCTTTGAACTTAACTTTTCATGAGTGTATATTTGTTTTTGGCAGGTTAATTAATTTTGTTACTTGACTGAATGAAAGCTATTGAAACTGAAACAAACTTCTGACACGTATTCAATCCCTGGTTTGTTTCTAGGTTTCCAAACAAGTACCAAAAATTGTGGCTTATCTCATAAGCCAGTTCCCAGACTTGTTTGGTAAAGAGTGCATGCAGCTCTTTGATGGGGTCTTGGATGAAGACCCTCTTCAGAAGAACTTTGCAGCAGAAGAGCAGTTGTTTGGTGAATTCTTGGACAAGGACATCCTCAGGCATGACTCTGGAGCAGAAGAGTCTGATAGTCTTCACAGTCAACAAGAAATTGGAGGTAAGAAATTTCACTTCACTTGTTGAAATGATTTATCCAAATAGTGTGTGGATATTTAAATCTCTTTACCGTGAAACAAAACATAACTTCATTGCTGAAAGCGGGTTTTTTATAGACTTTATAAGGTGTTGTGATTTGCTAATTCCAACCAGTGTCACTATTAACACATTGAAAAGTGAAAGGTTTCCTCAAAACCAGACTCTGATTTCATATTACATCAAATTGTTATTTGGCTGCTAAAAAAAAAAACAAGAGTCAAAAACGAAAAGATCCCTCAAAAACATTCATCAAACTGAAATCATGTATTTCCTGACATTATCGTGCTTTAGGTTCTTTGTAGTAGGAAACCACTTCTTAAGAAAGGTTCTTGTTTTTAACCATCTGCCATCTTAAAGTTATTACAGAGTTAATAATTACAGTAATCAAGAAAATGAATTTATTTTACATCTTTGGGCTAATCAACAAACAATTGTTGGCGCAGAAAAATTAATTTAATGCCTTTATGCTAGAAATCATAAGACACAAATTACTGTATAGAAGAACTTATATATTTCATTGATAAACGTAACGGCTGTCCACACTTGGGAATAAACTATACAATCACATTCACTAAGGCCTACAGATTCTTTTAATTGTTATGTGTTAATGACGTGTACTGGGTTTTGTCATCAAAATAACTACGAACACACATATTTGCTTTACACAGTTGCTGTATTACCGTATTTGAACACCCATCTTAATCCTTTTATTTACTTTCTGCAGGATGTCGTCAAGATGACTCCTCCATCGACAGCTTAGAGAGGGAGCTCCTTGGAGGAAACAAAATAATAACTGAGCTTTCAAGTAAAAACCAGATATCACTGACAAATCTTAGTCGAGATTCGGGTCTAACACTTAGTGACACACAGTTGTACACACCTGAAGACGAGGATGAGTGCGAAGAACCTGGAGAATCTATTCAGAGCAATAACCAGATAGTTAAGAGTACACCTAACTTGGATTTAGTTGGTCTAGAAGCCGGCAATCATCCAACAAAGAACACGGGGGTAAGCATTGATGGAACGTGCAATGAAGTCATGAGGAAACGGCGGCAGGTCCAAGAAGGCTCTCGTCCAGGAAGTGCAACGTCATCTCCTTTACGGAATCAGAATAAGAGTAGTACCCAGACCGGATCTTGCCAACAATACCATCTACCAATTCATTATTCACGATCCTATAGTTATGGTGCTGGAGATACATTTTTATACTGCTTACTGAATCCGTTGTTCGATGGATCTGTTAGTTCTGCAGAAGTTAAAAGGAATATTCATTCAGGTGGATCACAACTGTCTTCAACGAAAGCTAGTAACTTGTACCCTGTGCCTTTGTTGAGACGTACTGCTTCGGAGGACAGTTTGTCCCAAGTCTACTGCAATCGAACGTCCATTCTTACTCCTCCTGCATATGGGATTACTCATCAAAAATTTCTTACTGGTTTAGAAATAGACCAAAACGACCATAATGTTTCCTCTAAAAAGATTGGTAACAACTCTCGTTGCTCAGACATTGAACATTTGTCTAAAAGGTGTGCAATAGAAGTGCCCAGAGATAACAATCACATTGATTCAAAACGTAAAACTCTGCCGTGCTCTAACAAAGTAGATTCTTGGAAATCCACTCCGTCGTTGACGATGATTGATGAAACGGACAACTCTCAAAATAAAGATTTGGATGCAGAAAAATTCGGTTTATTTTCTGCGACTGACTTTTATGGTGTTTTCCAGAATTCTTCTAATGTCAATTACACATATAACTCTTCAACAGAATTAAGCCATGAGAATCGAGTTTCAATGGAAGAAAAGGGATGTAAAGGCTCATCAACATCTGTCAACTCCAGCAGATCTAGTGGATCTGGAGACTCATTTCAGTCCCAATCATCTCGGGTATCAGACAGAACATTAAAAACGCAAACTTCAGAACCTCTGCCAGAAAAATCTTTGATGGATTGGTTTTCTAGTTACCAGGAAACCCCATCACAAAGGGCTAGAGCCTCGAGTTTTCCTCATCAACAGTACGATCGATCATCTTTGGTCTCCAGAGTAAACAAGCCAAATAAGGACACGACACATTCTTGCATGGAGGGTTCTAGAATTCTGGAGAAACCCTGTTTATCTTTACCAGCCAACATCCCACCTACTCCCCCTCCCACTCCACCCAAACCTCAGAAAACGGCAGTTCATTTAGAAACACAGAGGATGATGCAAGCGGATGAACATCGAGCTATGGAGATCAATACAGTTCCAGACAACATCCCTCCTTCTGGATTAAGATGGAGACCCCCTGAAGACTGGAGAAAAGAGATTAGCTGGAGTGTATCTCAGTTACGAGACTATTTTGATAAGAGATCCTCAGGACATTCAGACTACGCGAGTCAGTCTTACAAACAAAGCCAACCACCGTTTCAATCACATCTTCCCAACTCATCTACTAAATATGAGGACGACTGTATAACTGTGGTAAGAGTAAGGGGTGGTGGAAGAACTGACCCTGTGATAACTGTACGAAAAAGAACCGATTCGGATAGCACTTGTAGTAGTAGTAGTAGTAGTAGTAGTAGTAGTAGAAGTAGCTTGGGGGGCAAAGAATCCTATGTCTGAGAGGGAAATACTCCAGGAAGAAGGCCAGAACTGTACCCCTAAGATAACGGGGGTATTATCCCTATGAGGACACTACAGTGCATGAAGACTTTGTATATTTGTATATTTTTAAGCTTCAACGAATTGTATATGAATAATTGAAAAACATTGGTAATCAAAGGATTGAGAAATTTATTTGTTACAAATAGATGTTCATTGTATATAACATCATTCAAACTCGATAAAATGATTCATATTAGCAATGTTTCCTTTTTTATTATTAAAGTGCCTTTATAAAAAATACCTTTGAGAGATTTTTTTTTTGTAATTTCAATAAAAGTTGTTTATCTTTAGAAAATCCTGTGCGACTTCTTTCCTTCCTGAAACTATCTTGAGTCAGTTTGTTTTAAAAGATATGCTCGGAGATAAATGCCGATAAAAAATATTTTTTAAATATATTTATTTAAAGCAGTTTTAAATGATGGTTCTGTGGGCTTGTGCCAATGCAGAACTGGCTACAATGTAAAAAAAAAAAAAAAAAAGAACTGGTTAATTGTTCTATGTCTTATGACGTCAAATTGAACTTAACATAGAAACCATTGTTAAATTCAATTGATGTAACAGACATTAGAAAAGACCACTCGAACGCAAAAGAGCGGTTATTTTCCGATATTACAAGTATCAAGGTAGAACATCAACCAAATCTTTATTTCATTAGCAAAACTACGGGGAGAAGGGGAGGGCTCTGCCATCCAGTAGTCCCTCCCCCCCATCTAAAATATTACGATTTAATTTTTGAAGAACATTCCTCCTGGTGGCTCAGCGGTAAATCTGAAGGCTTATAAGGCTAAAAACCGGGTTTCAATACCCATGGTGGGTAAAGCACAGATAGCCCATTATGTAGTGGCAATGTTACGGGGCTTACAGCGGTAAAAATCCGGGGTTCGATTCCCTACTGTAGAAAGAGAGCCTATTTTGTGTCGTAGAGCAAAAAAAAAAAAAAAACACAAACAAACTTGCTGTTTCAAAAACCTGAACTTAATTAATCCTTTTCCATTTAAAATGAATAAATCTACACCATGACAACTTATTGGATAAAAATAGTCAGACGTTCTGTTTTAAAAACATTTGGAAATCGTTATATTTGATTGTAAAAGAAACGGAATAATGCAGTAATGTTGATAATCGTCATTTTTTACGTTTCTTTATATTTAAACGAAGTTAATATCGTTATAAGGAAGCAAGAACATCGATATGCCTTGAAAACAAATAAATGGACCTAGTTAGAACACACCACGCCATTTTTATTCAAACTAAAGAAACTACAACGATTGACCTTTATACCAGATGTAGCTTGAGGTCGTACAGGACTGAATAATAGGACAATTGTATTTAATGTTGCAGTAAATATTAATTGGTATTATATACATATGGGGGGCCTTGTTTAAACCTAGAATTGTTGATCATGTCTATGTGAACTTCATAAAGTTTTTTTTTTTTATGTATACAGTTACGTACGAAACTACTTGTACATCCCTAACTTTTGGTTACAGAGCTCGCAATAACAAACCACTTATTTAAAAACAAATCTTGTAAGAGGCCCGGCATTGCCAGGTGGTTAAGG